TTTTTTTTTTTTTCTTTTTTTTTTTCCAAGATAAAAAATCCAAAATCAGTTACCCAAATGTATAGCTATTTAGAATGTATTTTATTATAGTGATTTGAGGCACAGGTAGGCTTCCAAATTACTTTAAAGCTGTAAATATATCAAGAAAACATTGTGTTCTTTATTACAAAGGCCATATGCATATATAAAGTGCCTGGGGTGTGTCTTGTATGTTACAAAAGAGATGGGATCTATTCCAAGGAGCTAGGAACAAGGATTGAAAATTGGCACAACCCCAGTGGATGCAGTGGAGGTGTGCTAGTTCACATTAGCAGAAAAGTTGTCCCTTAAATATCTTGGTCTTGATCCAGGCAGTTACTTTATATGGGCAGACCCTGTGTGATTTCCATAGAGCCCTGAATGTTGCAGTATAGCATCCCACTTTGCAGCCTTCAGCCCTGTGTTAGACAGACAATACATTTCATGCATGTAATCAGTAGAATAAAAGAGATGGAAAGGTAGATACTGCATTTCCAATTGTGATTTTGGGAGGACTATCATTTGAAAGGTTTGTGGACCGTGGTCATGTGCTTTTATGTAGTTGGAAATATCCCAGTTATCTCTATTGAGCTCTGATGTTGCTGATGTTCAAATATACTTTAGACCAAATTTTGAAAAATGTTCACACCCAGAGTCCAGGCATAAAAATATGCAGCTATATTTGAATCTGCACTGTATATTCATGTTTTACACATGGGTAAGGATTTTGCTCTATTAAGATCCTATATAAATTGTAATGGTAGTGGCATCTTGATTGAAAATGAAGATATTTTGCTTTAAATATAATTTCGTCAACAAATACACTTAATTTTTCCTAGTTAAGTTTCCCTATTACTTCCCCTATTTTTTTGTCATAAAGACTGTGTTAATCTGACAATGTCTGGTGCTACATGACAATACCATAGATACATCAGGACTTTTCCCACACTTCATTGCAAACACAACAGCCCCATGGGGGAATCTAAGAAAGACCCTTTCTCTTCTACTTCCTCTTTGTTTGTTTGAAGACTCAAGTGAACACAGTTCAGTTTTCAACAAAAATGAAAAGGAAAATTTTGAAACGGGCCAACCATCATTTTTTCTAAAATATATTGTTGCATCTAGCAAAGAGGAAATGTTGAGAGCCACTGATACTGAGCCGCTTGGGAATGAACAAGGTCACTCCCTGGCTATCAAAGAGACGTATCTTCCTCCATATGCAGAACAAGCTTATAATGTTCATGGCTGTTGTTAACTGCAATCAAAAAACCAAGCAACTAAAAGCTTTGCTTCTGATCCATGAGATCTCTGGATTTATATTATTGGGAGTTGCACACACAAGCTCCATTATCCATTTGAAAGTAGTTTAGATCCCTGAAATGCCACATAGATCTATTCTACTAGCAGTCATCATGGACAGTGTTGACTTCCTTCATTATTTATATTTCATCTGTATCCAGTAGGCCAACTGCCCTCTTCTTCCTTTCAAATTGCTCTGAAATACCTGCCAAAGCCAAACCGACTTGGAAAATGCTGTCACTGTCCCATTATAAAAACCAACCAACCAAACAAACAAAAAATAAAACTAAACAAAATCTAACTAAATACCTAACTAAAAGCACTGTAACCTTTAAAACACCTCTTTCAGTCTTTGTAGTATGGCAGCCTTTGGTCCAAAGTTCCTTGACATGAGAATTGAGTCTTTTTTTTTCATATCTTGAACAGGGCTGAACAAGTAATACTATAGATGAAACAACCTGGAGTAATGTCCTCTCCCCCCGCACTACCTCCCCAACATGCACTCGATGTAATCTGTGATAAAAGGTCCTTCCAAAAGAGCCCTCCAGGTTCCTTCAGATTCCCCAGTTACCTCTCCACAGGTCCTTCAAGGATTTGCTGTATAACCATGATGTTCCAGTCATAGCTGAAGAAAGCAGCGCCCATCCATTAAGTGCACTGTGTGTGTTATCATATAGCACTGACTAGGGAGTAAAGATGTGCTGGTCAACTTAAGAAGAACTACAGCAGTATCTTTAGTATATCTTTATTTGCTTAAATTAACAAAATACATTTTTACATGTTATTTTCAGGTGAACTGCTTTTGCTATCAAGATACACAGCTGAAAACTGAACCTTCACAACTTAGATTTTCTCCCTCTTTCAGAGTTTTAATTTTTAATAGCAAACCATCATTCTGTATGAAATAAACATCCACTGCAATGCTTTCAAATTCTGTTAAGGTTACAAAATGTTAGCTCTGTTACATCTTGTTCAGCTAAGTAGACACAAGTTATCATCAAAACCATGTTAATTCTTATTAAATACTTTTTGGCATAATAAATAAAATACGTACATTACACTTCTTACCTGTACACCAGCTACACCCATGTACAACAGCACCATGTTAATAGTAAGATTAAGAAAAAGACCTCTAAAAGGAGGAGCATGGTGGCAGCATCGAAAGATGACTTGGTTTTTCTGATAAACAAGCTACAAATTACGTGTGATAAAATACAGGAAGCAAATTGCAATAACCGTTTATAAAATGCTCATCAAGGGCTTACTCTTTTGAGACCATACATGGTTGCTGCAAGACTGACCATTAGCAGCTGCCATTTACATCGGGGTGAGCACTTCATAAGCGGTGTTCAACAGTCAGTAGAACTGAGACCAACTAAAAGGTGGCCAGATTCTCTGAGGCAAAACTCAGTATGTTTTTTCTTTAGGGAACATTGACAACTCTGATTTCTTGAAGAATGTGCTGTGTGTGTCTCAGTCGTTGGATTTGATTAGTAATTCCTTTACATTTCTTACTTGTTTACTCTGCTCTGTACAGTACCTTGCAGAATGCTACTTGGCATCCCAGCCCTGCCCTGATAGTAAAGTCTTACCCATGTAGATGCTGACCCCTTCCACTGCCCACTCTCATGTCTTTGCAAATTGACTGGCCTTCACTAGGCTTCTATGGAGCTCCTTAAGGAAATAATTTCATTCAAATAAATTTGTGGACATTTTCTATTTGTCACTGAGCAGTTCCAAATGGGAGAATCAAATTCTGTAACATGAACAAAGTCAACACTACTGACATAACTGGACTTAATTTTAACCAATGTGCCAAAATGTCACTTCAGGGAGTATGGGAAAGACAATGTCACCCTCTAAAACATTTTTTAAAACATCACTAAAACAGCAGAAAGGCCAAGGTTATGGTTAATAAAGCAAAATGGTCTGTGCCACTTCCCCCAAGGCCTCAATGTCTCCTTTATAGTATAATCCTAGAGAAGTTCTGTGGCAGAGCAGAAAATCAAAACTGAACATGCACTAATGATAATGGGAGAAGAGCTTAGTCATCAGTGCAATTTATAATTCTACAAGGAATTTTGCAGAGCTGTTAAAAAGCAAAAGACCTTAAGGACTATCCTTAAAAAATGGCAGCTTAAATATTGTGAAGAAAACTATAATAGAAGAACAACACATTTCTCAATGAACATGGGCCGACAATGCGAGGCCATGGTTGGCAGAGCTAACCGGACCTTATCATGCATCCACAGGTGCATCTCGAGTATAGCCAAGGAGGTGATCCTCCCCCTCTATGCGACGCTGGTCAGGCCACAGCTGGAGTATTGTGTCCAGTTCTGTGCGCCCCATTTCAGGAGGGATGTGGACAACATGGAGAGGGTCCAGAGGAGGGCCACCCGCATGATCTG